CATATTTTTTTAAAAGAAAGCGTCAGTTTATCATAGTTCACTGTTTCTGAACAATTGCAAAAATTCACATGAATGTTGAAAAAAATCAGTTAGAAAACTAGACACCACATATCTTGCATGTTAAGGAATAAGATTTTTGTGATGGATGTCAACAAGTAATCAATCCATAAATATTTGAGTATCTTCAATGTGTGATGCCAGGTTCTGCCAAGATTCCTATTCCATAAATGTCTCCTCCACATTTGAATTATCCTTGTGTGGCCATATAATTTCCTCCCCCTCCTCCACTTTTACCATTTTAAAAAAATGCTCTGGGTCTAATAATCCTTCTTCTTTACTTCCTACAACCATAGCCCACTACTAAGTCTCTTAGGAAAGAGAGAGTCAAGTAGTTTCAACCCAGTCTTCACAGACCGGCCTCACATCACCTTTGTGAATATTCAACCTATATGAAATACAAAGTACTATAAAGTTCTTTTAATTGATCTTTCTTAGTTGGAGTACATGTCCTTTTATGGTCCAGTTTGATACCAGAATAACTCTCATTCCTATGCTGCAAGTCATATTATCTAGGTATATCTAGACTAAGGTCTGGTCTTTTTGCTTTGGTCTCCCTCTAGGGGATTGGATTCTAAGTATGTGGGGTTTGGTATCAGTTCCTCACCTCCTCACCGTATGCTCTGTACTATTGTAAAAACTGGCTCATGTTTGCTTATTCATAAGGCTTAACATGCAATTCCAAAATCTATAAAGCATTCCCAAAGATCTAGAGGATTCTGGTGAGATCTGGTGGAAAGGCAGGAAAGATAAATTGGTAATATTATGAGACAAAGACACAAGCAATGTTTCAAGATAGCACATGATAATTCCATATAAGTTAACTAATCATAATAACTTCCAAGAGTGGTACTAAGGAGAGGTCAATAATTATGGTGAAAGGAAAATGTGGGATATCAACTGGGACCCATAAGATGGGAGAAATCTGGATTAAGAGAAAGAACAGAAAGCAAAGTTACAGATCCCAGAAAGCAGAAAGTAAATACAGGGTAGAGCAAGTACAGCAGTCTGCCTGTGTTCTTATCAGCAAGTGTGTAAAACAGAAATAGCAGGTCAGAATAAAATATTTCCATTTCATCCATGATTTTAGCACCAAGATAATATAGCTGAAAAGGATAACAGAATAGCTGACTTTTACATATTCAGATGAAAATGTATATATCAATCAAGGTATCAAACATATCTTGATATACTTTTTTTAAAAATCCTCACCTGAGGATATTTTTGCCTTTATCTACAGAGAAAGGAGGAGGGAGGGGGGGGGAAGAGAGAGAGAGAGAAACATTGATGTGAGAGAGACACGTCGAGTGATTGCCACCCGCACAACCTCAACCGGGGCGGGGGACGAACTGCAACCAAGGTACGTGCCCTCAGCGGGAACCAAACCGGGGACTCTCTGGTCCGTTGACCGATGCGCTAACCTCTGAGCCAAACCAGCCAGGGCTAACTTGACATACCTTTTTGGAACATATTCTCAGCCAATTTTTTGTTTCCTTGTTTTGGTTTGTTTTAATGTTTCCTCAAAGAAAATCAAGTAGCATACTTAAATAATGTAGGACATATTTTAAAAAGCAGTGGTGGGCCCTGGACGGTTTGCTCCGTGGTTAGAGCACTGGCCCGGGTTCATTCCTGCTAAGGGCACGTACCTCGGTTGCAGTTTGTCCCTGGCCCAGGTTGGGGTTGTGTGGGTGGCAACCACTCGATGTGTCTCTCTCACATCAATGTTTCTCTCTCTCTGTTCCTCCATCTCTCCCTCCCACACTATCTGAAGATAAATGCAAAAATGTCCTTGAGTGAGATAAAAAAATAAAAAATAAAAAGCAGTGGTGGTTTTAATCCTGGCTCCAACACATTAAATAAAAATTTATTGTGAAGGTTCTGCTCTATAACTGAAGGCTCTGTTCTAGGTTCTGGGGATGCAGCAGTTAGCACAACAGACTAAATTAGTGCCTGCTCTCATGAAGATAAGTTTTAATCCACAGTCTCCTCATCCATAAAATTAGAGCAATATTACTGATTCTATAAAAAGAGAAAAAATATTTTTAAATATATAATACAATATGATTATTTATCTATGTTATAAATATATAACATAGATTGTTTATAGATATTCAATAGTGTCTATTAAGTGATAACTGGTTAAAACTTATATTAACAATCATACGTAGTTTACTATATCATATGATTTTATTACAATTGGTTTAGTTGTCATATTTCAGGTACATATTTTGCTTTCAACCAATCAGAACAATGTGGTAAAGGAAGCAAGAATGTACATTATTAGAAGTCCTAGTTTCAAGACTCAGTTCTACCATATATTAGTTAAGTGATTCTAGACAAAAATGGGCCATCTGTGCAGCCATTTCCTGAACTATAAACTAAGGATAAAATTATTTGATCCACCTACTTATAGGTTGTTTCAAAGAATAAATGATAAATTTTAAGACGTAAGTGTTTAGGAAGTATATAAATGAAAGTTAATTAATCCCCATCACATGCCATGCTTTGTATATGAAAATTACAAACCCTTGTTATTTGGAGGTATGTGGAGTACCAGAAAAATTTACTTCTCACGTGGATCAAAATTACCCAAGAATTAAAGCACCTTACACAAAATGAAGCATTCCTCCCTTTCCTACTACAAGATCATGCCTTACTATACAGAAGTATTTTTGTTTTTTTAAATTTATTTTTTTATCCTCACTCAAGGACATTTTTCCATTTTTTGTTCAGAAAGAGTGGGAGGGAGAGAGAGGAAAAGAGAGAAAGAGAAAAACATCGACGTGAAAAGGACACATCGAGTGGCTGCCACTTGCATGACACATCCAGGGCCGGGGACAAAATCTAACAGAGGTATGCGTCCTTAGCGGGAACTGAAACTGAGTCTCTCTGGACCACAGGCCAACGCTCTAACCACTGAGCCAAACCGGCCAGGGCTACAGAAGTATCTTTTAAGGCTATCAGCTTAACTCTGCTATTTTGCATAATTCTGGAAGATTGTAAGGTGTTTATTAAGAAAAATAACATTTCATAACTAAGAGAATGGGTATAAAGTTGTGTTATCTATATGAGTCTATTTTTGTCATTTAGCCCTTTGGATGGGAACCTAGACTGTTAAGTGAAATGGGAAAAGAAAGAAAGAGGCAAAAAGACATGATAAGGAAAGAAGTAAAAATGGCAGAAGTATAAAAGAGATAAAAGAATTAAAGAAAATGACAGAGGGAAAGTGAGCATATCTTAACAATGAAGCAACATAAAAAGATTTTTTTCCCTTGGTGTTAAGGAAAAAAACTGATGCAGGGATAAACTAAACAGATGTGAAAAACAGAATAAAGAAAATGCACACATACAAGAGAACAAAAGAAAAAATCAAAGCAATGACAAGATAAAGACAAAAATCGAAAAGAAGAGATAAAACCTACAAGACAGATGTCAGACATAGATGCTTAATCTGTACATATCACAGGGAAATAAAAGAAACTGTTTAAGAAGAAATAAAAAACAATACACAAAATCACTTTGTGTGCATTTCACATAGGCAAGTGAATACTCTCAATGATTTGTATATTTCAAACGTTACACAAATCATAATTGGGATTTGGACGGCACAGATAGTTTTTTAAAAAGTCTGTCTTACGATGGTGGTTGATAGACTGGATCACATCATAGAAAGCTGAGGACAACTGATAGAGAAGGAGACATAATGACCCTGATTCAGTCAAAGGAAAGAAAGGCAGCAACATAACTGCATTAGAACAAGCAAGCTACTTACTGATTCCAGACCTAATTGCTTTTTCTTCAAATAATATATTAAATAATAAGATGCTTTTCAGAAATTTAAATATTATAATCTGTGAAACTTTTGCTTGACTCATTTGATGTGCTTTGGGCATTCTTGGTCAAGAACACATATTTTGGGGTCTTGAGAATTGAGATATGGCTTTCACTTCTGTTTATAGCTTACTCAACAGACTGACCTATAATCAAATGTCTTGAAGATCTGGAGTACAATTCCCAAAAGTGTAGTGATTATGCTTTGAACTAGAAATATATTAAAGAAAGTAACGTTGAAAGCTGTGGATTTCCCGTCAAAGGTGGTATAAAATATTTTATTAATGAGCTTTTAAAGTAAATGTAAAAATAGCTCAAGCTGAATATTCTTAAACTTTACTACTACCTTATAGTATAATTTATAAAATGTTAATTACCTATGTTTAAATGGTCTGAATTGCTCACTTTTGAAGAACATATCAATTTACTACTTTACATACCCTGTAGCAGTTTTGACACGCTTTACTATTAAATTATATTTCTAGAATCCCATAATAAGAGCTTTGAAAACTGCATGAATCTGTCTCATATATATAATACACAGTATATATCAAGCAGAATGTGTCAAAGTGCAAATAAAATTGTTTGTGCCCCCTGCAGAATTAGAACTCCTTGGGCAGCACTGCTATAACGATTTCATGCTGCTAGCATTACAGAGTGCAAAGGTTCACTGGGTAAGAAAAGAGCAAAGGACAGAGTTCCCTCATTACACTATCCCTAAACTATTCTAGCTTAAATATTTATTAAGATATTACTCTTCCTCCTTCCATCTGCCTATAGAAGTTAAGCTCACACACCATGGTTGAATGGTTGCTTGTAGGAAAACAATGTATTGAAACTATCACCACTTAAGATGAAGACTGATGTTTTGTACAGTGAGTTATTAACTGCTTTTGAGACTTTTATAAAATATCACACTGATATAAGAATAATGTATTTGTAATTTTGAATTAAAAAGCAGAATGCATTTAATTCAAGTAGCATTCATGGAAAATCAGTGGTTAAAAATCAAAGAATTGACAACTTCTTTAAAAATATAAACAAAATAATTTGTATAAAATAAAATATAAAGAAAATAATGAAGAAAAGTAATGATCTCACTTATTACTTACTCTGATATACAACTGCATCATTTCTCTTTCTCTTTGAGGGTTACGATACTTCTCATAGAAATCACGTCGCTTCTTTGTTTCTTTAGAGACTTTATCTTTTCTTTCCCGTTTTTCTGCTGGTTCATCTGAACTATCAGAAGATGACTGTACGTGTATCTTCGGCTTTTCTACTTCAATGTAGTTTTCATTGGGATTCAGAACTATTACTCCATATCCTTCCTGTTTAGAAAGCAAAGAAGACAGCTTAATTTAATCCTAGGAACCAGTTCAATTCATGAAAAAAGTTCTTAAAATTCTATACGTTATTTAATATATTTGCATATTCATTAAAATATTTCTCCATAAAAGATTATTTTAATTTTTCCAAAAGAAAGTCATTTAAAATTGTTTGCCTATATTGTGTATGTAAATAACCATAGATTATCTATAATAACAAAGGAACATTATTGTAACATAAAGATTATAAAGCTTAAAATTTTTAAAAAGTACTTTAGATCTTCCAAAACCCAAAATATAATGGGAATAAATTATGAATTAAAAGTACACTTTGAAACTACCTTAATATTTATAATATATACTCTGAAACTGAAGTTTACAATTCAAACTGCATTTTGTTGGAGTTTTGTATCTTTTATAACTTGTGCTTTAATAAGCATTTTTCATTTGTTTGAATGGTAAAAAGAATAAATATACTCTAAAATTTACAGATGTATATTATTATATGTATATTATCAGAATTATATCTGTATATTATTAGAAACACAATGTCTACCTGTGCACCTTGGATTTTTTTCACCTCTCTAATTTCAGAAAACCACACAAATCATAAAACAAAATAAGTTAATGTCTTAGTATAATGTACGGAAGCAACTCTTTAACCCTAAAATTGCTTTCATTTTTTAAACTGTCATAAAAATTTCTCTTTATAAAGAACTAGTAGCAGGAAACAAGTTCCAAAGTTTAAAATACAGCTTATTAAGCTGGTAAACCTTTCCAAAAGTTTTAAAAACACGTTTTCCTGTCTGATTTAATTCTAGCAAGGCAAACATTTCTATGGTTATAATTAAGGAAATGTTGGTATTTATATTGTTGTAACTCATGGAATATTGTAACATGAGAAAACAGAGAAGGGTAAGCAATCACCACTGAACAAGCACGCACAACACACATTTTTGAAAGGATTATGTATCTTGTCCCTTCTATTCAATTCTGTTCTGTGGGTGTCCCAATTTTGCCTTGTACAATCCTGTAAGGCCATACTTAAAACATGTATTATATTGTAATAAAAACATCAGAGCTACAAAAAAAATAAAACTTTAACGAATCATCCTTACTAAACAAACAAAAAAAGTATATATGTTTCTGAAACTGTAGCATCTCCTACTTTGTTTGAAATTTGATTCTTTTTTGCTAAACTAATAAGATGATTAAAAAAAAAATGATAGCAGTAATAATGATATAAACTCAATTATCTTATTTTTAAATATGCTACAATGCTGCATGTACTTGGTTTTTTTTTTAACAAATGATTTCACAAACTACATATAAACTTCACTGGGATCCTTTCAAAATCTCTCCCTCCCCCACCCAAGAAAATATTACTGTTTAAAACCATGGATTGGAGATTCTGAAAATCATTCATTGAAGTTCTTTCTGATTTTAGTGACAGGGCTGTTAATTAAGATATAGTTGCCTTACATATGTGAAAACTATATCATAATAGGTACCAAACTGATTGACAAAATACCACATATTCTTTAATACACGTTTGAATAAAATTTTTAGATAAATATCTTTCATGAAAGTCTTATAAAATATTTTACAAGATTTTAAATTCAAATGTTCTACATCAAAGCACAAGAGAAAGTTTTTGTTTTGTTTTTTAAAGTTCCTTAGCTGGTAAGACAAAGTTTTACCAACAAAAGATATTTTATTTGGTCCTGCTTTATTCTAATCTGTATAGCTATTCAAAAGTCTTGTAATTCATTGTAATCACTGTCAGGTAGACAGATTGTCACTTGGTGATTTTCTACAGTTGGACACACTTGACTAGTTATTAAAATCACATTTGAAGGAAGTTCCTACCCCTCTTCCTTGTGTCTCTTACAACTTTTCACGCCCTTCTCAAATTTCAGCTATAACTTCTCCTCCCACCAAAAGTAAGTTAAAGAACACAGTTGCACTCTGCTAAACAGGGTGAAATAGAGGCATTCAGTACACTGTCTCTGGAGTAAGGAACATAGTCAAAAAAGGTCACCATAGGCCAAAAAGAAAATTGCCTCCTTACTAGATTCTGTACCATGAGTAAGTGGTCTCCTGTCATGTTTCTTCCTTGCCTTCTCTGAGAGAATTGAACTTTAAACACACACACACACACTCTCACACTCACACACACACACACACACACCCTCTCATACTTACACATGAGTTAGAGTTAGGGATACAAATAGTGATATACTACATTTTAATGATAATTTGAAAATTTAAACATGAGATAACAAAGTAGGACTTTAATAAATTGATAGAACATTAGCATCCTCTGTAAAATGAATGTGCTGGAATTACAACTCTTACCCTAATTTATAACTTAATCCACTAGAAATAATATTTTCATAATACCAGGTTTATTTTAACAGAACTTTGTATTTCAATTTTTAGAAATCATAAATTGAAAAATTATTGTGCCTATTTGATTTTAAATGGACTCTGAAATTTGATGTATCCCATCTAAATATGTATAAAAACAGACACACATAAATCATCAAAGAAGTAGTATTTGTCTAAGTTATTGATTATGTAACTGAAAATTACATGACTCATTTGTCCAATTTTATAAAGACACAATGTCAATTTTTCACTGAGGCACCAACAGATGAAAAATGATTCTATTTTAAAATCACCACTATATAAACCAATTAAATAATTTTTACTATTTAGATTTCAACAATGAATGTTTCTCTTTAAACACCTTAATTATTTAGAAAATATTTCATCATTTAGATATTTCATACTGCCAATTTAATTAAGAAAATAACAATCAAGAAATATTCAGAAACATTTTCTGCAGAAATGAGAGCTAATTTTAATAAACATCTTTGCTGAAAATTCAATTACCATTCCATAAAAATCTTACATTTTTTTAATTAAAATTTTCCTGATAAATTAATTAATGTAATATTCACAAAGACCATTCGTTACCATTTTATAATGAGTAGGAAAAAGCCAAGTAACAAAATAAAGTTACCTATTCATTTACGTGCTCTAATCATAGATATGCAGTAAAACTTCCTCCTTCTCTCTGTCACATACATACACTGTCAAACAAATCCCTTTATATAATAAAGCTACAAAGATTTTGCTATGTCAACATTAAGATATGGAAATCCATGAGTCAAAGCAAATAGTCAAAGAATAAAACATATCAGTAGTTAAATAATACCATCTTAGGTAGAATAATATCAATTTATACCTTTAAAACATTTAGAATAAATATTATTTAAAAAATTAATTCTTTATATTCCTAGTAACTCAATCAGTACACACAGAAATAAGTTAAAAAGATCCTACTTTGACCTTTAACAAATGTACTCATAAAGTTTTACAAAACTGTTCTATAAAATCTGGTATCAAATACAATATCATAAAAGAACTGTGGATTGCCATTCTGACAAGGAGGCCTTCATTACTAATGCTTAGAACCTTAAACATTTTCTATTAAAGTATTCCTTTTATATTTAATTATTCCTTAGGCATGCTAAATTTCTCATAAGATGAAAAGTTAGGTCATTTCAAATATACATGGAGATTTATGTTATCTTTAACAGGATAAAATGATCAAACTGATCATCTAACACTGTACAACTAACTAAATAAAACTTATGGCATCTCTCATAATGATTTACCCAAATCAATTCCAATATCCAACATTTCAAGAAATAAAGCATACATAAAGTTGTTACTTAACTCATGTTTGATCAAGAAAATAATAAAGAGAATAGATACTAGTAAAAGTAAGCGTTATCTCTTTAATTTATCTCATTGCATTTTTCTATTCTTTTTGTAACTATAACTGTAGCTTCATTTTCAGACTGATGTTTATAAGATCTTAATCAGAAACCCTCAAAATTTTATAGTTAGATACAGCATTTTATTCAGCACAGGTACTTGCTGTGATTTAAACAAAATACACAGGCCTCAAGGCCTTCTTTACTTTGAAGTCTATAGATGTACTTACTAATAAATAATAGTTCATTTATCATTCAATCAACAAGTTATGGCTTATGTCAGAGAGGTCTAAAACAGACAGGTGATGCCAAACACAAAGAACCAAAGAGGAAATCTTGCTAAAGAAATTAAATCAGTATAGAAATGTACTTATCAAGATTTTACAACTAGATATCATTTTTAAATGCCTGATCAAAATCAGAAAGTACTTTTAACCCCAGAAGAAACCTTGCTAAAACTGAAGATTTATCCAAGTTAATTTACCTAATAATTACCATTCATAAATAAAATAAAAATAGGAGCAAATTCTCCATCGTTTTAATTCTTTTGTGGTTGGCTAAATAAAAAAATCAGCTGAAAGTACTCAGCTCTGCATATTAACCTTCCAATACTGCAGGCCACATGTGACCAAAGGGGTCAGGGGCCAGGGTAGAATCCTCTGACCTATGGAACGATCCATTTTGTTCTTTAGGCAAGGCTCTTTATGAGATCATTTTACACAAATTTATCAATCATATTTTTCAAGTTCAGCATTCTATCTGGGTTGAAAGAAGATAGGTGCTCGTCCTTAAGGGAAATGAAACCCAAAGTGTTTTATCTATAAACTACATTTATCCATGGTTAAAATGGACAAACCTCTGTCCATTCATCTTTTCTGAAAGATGTGTATGTTGTGTTTATTCTCATCTTTTTCACAAGAAGGGTATGTATATGTCACTGTTGCAACATCCTAGGTGCAACAGTGAGATGAGGTCATGACAACCAATCAGAAGTCACTAGTGAAGCGTTAAAGTAAACATAGCTATTGGAACTGCAGCTTTGCTTGAAAAATACCCCCTCCATTATTTCAGCAATTTTCTCAAGACGTGACCTGGGACTGAAACGTTTGAAATGTCACTTGACTCTGTTTTGTGCTTCTTCACAATATGCATTTAGGTAACAGCATCCTGCTAATATCTTGTAAATTGTTGTCAAAACCATGCTTCAACCTGTAG